GAGATATTATTTTCGTTAACATGCGCTAGCTTCGGCTTTTTATCTTTAACCTCATACTGCCCACGAGCAGTCTGGTTCCTATTTGTTTGATAAATTATTAGGTCGATTCGCCTAATTCCCTAATTATTGCTGCTTAGCAAACATTTTATTTAGAGACAGTTTCAGCCTTCCTTATTCAAGCTTCATTGCTTATTTTAGTCAGAAACTTTAGAAAATTTCTTTCTCAAAAGTATACGTAATAAATTTAGGAAGTGCGCTTTTCTAAAGGTAACTGCAAAAATTGTATTTATTCTGCATGATGCTGGTCTGTATTCTTAAGCTTTTAAGGTGATCTAGAGCTGATTCCACGGTTTATTTTTTGGGTTTCGCCGAAATAACATTGAGATGTATATAGTGACTTTACTCCACAATCAGTTTGGCTACATTTCACCGCTGTCTCTTTACTCATGCAACATGAAGCGGGACATGACTCACCATCATTGTGTCCCACGGGGACTAGGCAAATATGCGAATAAAACTGGGTTTCGATGAATCTTCTCTGACAACATTGTTGGAGGGACCTTCATTTTGTATGAAAGCCGGATAATCTTCGTGTACTAGTATTAACGTGAGACTTTTACAGGAATGAGACCCATCTCTGATGATGTCCATTATTTGAAGGAGGAAAACTCAGCCAACTTTCACCCGAAACAAGGGAGGAGCTCTCGTGGTCTGCGTCAATCTGAACGTCGTATAAAAGCCAAACGGCTGCAGTACAACGGGCTTCAGCCGTCCTTATCTGGTTAGATCGACCTACGAATCTCTTCTGCATGCACTTTCATACGAAATGAAAGTTCCCCTAACAATAGGCAAAAATAGTCACCGCATCGAGCCTCCTTTGAACCAATCAGAACGTGACACTAAAAGTACACAAGAGTATTTTAAGTCAGAAACTACCTCGACTGACAAGAATTGCCCCATGGCTCCTCTAGTGCCGTAGTTACGCTCTTTGCCCGAACACTGTCCTCTTGTACTAACACCACATTCCAGCAATCATCTGAATTTTTCCAACATTGAGATCCTCGTCTGCAACGTTCCTTATATACAAGGCACTTTGTTTCTCGTTTTCTTGTTTCTCCATACAAGGTTGGGGTATTCTATACGGTAGGCAAAGTTGAAGACATATTTATAGTGAATATTGTTATGATTCACTAAATATATATACTCTATCTTATTTTTTCAAATAATATAGCTGTAGTTATCTTTTCACACTTGGAAAAAATTTATGAATTAAATCGGCTCTTAGAAGTGATATTGTGGTCATATGGGAATAGAGCTAAATTGTGTGGTTGAACTGGTGACTCCTCTTATCTTACTATTTTTAAAATTACCACATGATTTTTATTAACTTCAGGAGGGTATGCTGGCACACCTTAAGAAACTATCCTCCGTCACGCTTTCGCGAAATTACTTCACTGCATTTCCACTTGGAGGTCCGCAACAATTTACCTCAGTTCAGGTACTTTATTTTAAACTTATATATTTCTAGCTCATGAATCAGTTTATCGACTACAGTCTTGTTGACTAACTTTTAGGCTATCAATATGGACCACAATCAGATTACAAAGATTCCATTTGGAATCTTCTCTCGTGCAACAAATCTCACCAAGTTGAACATGAGGGACAATCAACTTTCTGCTCTACCCCCGGGTATTTGACATGTTACGAACAAATATTTTATTGCCCATTTATCTTTTGATTAATTTTTAACTATTTCAGATGTGAAAAGTTGGGTTAGTTTGGTGGAACTGAACCTTGGTACAAATCAACTAACCAAATTGCCGGATGATATAGAGCATCTTTCAAATCTTGAAGTTCTTGTTCTAAGCAACAATCAACTCAAGGTAAATAGATAACAACACTTAAATGAGATCCAAAGTATTTATTGAGAGTTCAAATCTTTCCTTTTATATCCCTTACTACTTAAACC